CACACACACACACACACACACACACACACATTTTATTTCCATGAACACGTGCACTGCAGCAATGTCAACACTGACCTGTGCAAAGGGGATACAACTGCACATCAGCTGCTCCCTCACTACATCATGCCTGGCTTGTGCACGCACACACACATACACACACACACACTTTTGGACACCTTCAGAACAAACAGCGCTCAGATAAATGTGTGTTTCCACTACGTAATGCAAAGTACAAAGGTGTTTACGAGCAGGAGTTGTCTGCCGTTTTCACTGCCACTCCTGTCTGTCTGTCTGTCTCTTTCTTTCTTCCTGCCTGTCTGTCTTGTGAGATGAAGGACTGAAGTTATCCCTCCCTCACTCCCCCTCCTCACTTTCTTTCTGCCTCTCTCCTGCAGCAGCAGCACAGAAAAATGGGTCACGAACAAAGAAAAAAAAGTGACAGAGAAAAACTGAAATGAGATCCAACCTCATTTTAATCTGATTTGTTCTCTGCAGTTGTTTTAACCCTCTGTGAGCGGGTTCTTCTGTTTGCACGTGTGTTTCTGATAGTGAGTCATTCACGGGGAGAGAGGTGAAACTATGACTGATTTTCATCATCCAACAACTGACAGAAGGTCAAACCTGATTTAAATACAAAATACTGAATTTAGGTGCAAGTGTAGAGTATGAAATTATGATTTTATGAAAATATTCAGGCCATTTTTTGATAAAGACACATTTATGTGCCCTTCCAGCACTAACTATAAACTATATACCTGGCATCCGCTCGTGACTTTCTGTTTATAAGAGTCATATCAATTAAATGATTGCAGATTAATGTCAGAATAGTTTTCTGACCTTTTAAAAATCCCATTAACAATCTCAAATTTCATTGTCATCATAAGCCATTATGGCAAAAACATTCAGGGAAGATCCGGAGAATTGGCTGCGGGCTTTACCCAGAGTTTGCCAGAGGTGGAGCAGCCGGGTGCAACAGGAAGTGACGAATTAACTCTGCCACGTAGATCACATGATTTTCTTGGCAACACGCAGACACTGGTGTCGGCTCTTATCACCACAAACTCTCTAGACACATTCGTCAGTGTCTTCAATATGCGTGGCAACACTTCTTCACCTCGAGATATTTCTTTTTTTTTCTTTCATTTTTGCGTAAATCGCTTGTTAGAAGCGTCATCAGTCCCCCCCCACTTGCTCGAGGTAAATCCAGCGTGGATCCACTGATGTGTTCACACATCGATTTCTATACTAGGAGGCCAGGCGGAGAAAGTCCAAAGAACTGCAGAGTTCAGTGCATGTCTGAAAGTTTCAAGTCTCTTCTCAGTCCCCAATTCTCTGCATTTCAGAGGAGCAAGGTTGTGACCCCAAAGCAGCGATTTGACAGTTGAGACTGTTGACGGTTTTAAGTTTTTTGTGATGGTTGTTAAACTGCAAAAAAAACAAAGCAAAGTGTTTTTATTACTTTCCTCAAACATACATAAATTATCATTTGTATTTATCCATTGTATTTTTCGCTGTCATGTGCATGTAGTTAAATATATTTTAACATTTTGACCTCATTTGTAACACAAACATATTATCTTATCTGAAACATTTTGAATTCTCCTCCTCTCCTCTCTTCTCCTCTGTCTCACCTCCCCCACTTATTTTTGAAGAAATCGTATGAAGTGGATAAACACGTGTGTCTCAAAGTGAGCTTTGATGGCACCATTTAAAAGAGCATAAATATCAGTGTGTGTGTGCATGTGTGAGCGTGCATGTGTCCAAGAGGCTTTATATGTGAGCAAAACATTATAGTATCTTTACACCAACGCCACATTTGTCTGTTGTTGTTAGCTGTCTCAGACATCTCAGCTTACATGCCATTATATATTTGCCTGGAAGGTGTGTGAACGTCTATATCTGTGTGTGTGTGTGTGTGTGTGTGTGAGAGAGAGTGGCTGGGTGGTTGTGAATTGGGTTGGGCCATAAATAGAAAGAATAAGTGATTTATTAGACACAAAATAATAGATATATATGCTTAATATACTGCATGTGGTAGTTTTATACAGCCCACCCAGTTGTGTTGCTGTTGCTTGCTACAATAAAAACAAGTAAAAAGTCGTGATGATGTTCCTCCACAATAATATAATAATATAATATATACATTCCTCAAAGATGCAAAGTTTTTCCAACACAACAACATTTTTGAGGCGATTTTATGGCCTTACACCACCACAGACGTTAATTTGAAAAGATTAGTTAAGGGCTAATTTGGTGTTAACTAGTTTCCTTAGCACCGTGTAAATACTGTAAAGCCTACACTGATATAAACACCATGACTGTTGTAACAGCACGATGACGAGCTGATCTCAGAGCTGTGCAGGGCAACTAATGCTAATACTGCATCCATGTAAGTCGAGGCTAATGTAAGTGAGACTCATTTTGTTCCTCTTCACGTTGTTGATCAGATTTTCGGTCACACAGTCAGGAGCAGCAGATCTGTTATCGATCTGTACAATGAGACACATGCCCACTTCCACTGTCGACAGGAAGTTCAAAGACAAAGTAAGAGAGTTGCAGCATTTTCTCGTTGCTGAAACGCATAAGGTCAGTCAGTGTGTGTGTGTGTGTGTGTGTGTGTGTGTGTGTGTGTGTGTGTGTGTGTGTGTGTGTTTGTTCGTGTGCGTGCATGTTTGTGTGTTAGTGCATTTCATCGCTACAAGAGAGGAGCAGAGTGAATTGTGGGAGATGTCAGGGAACTTGGTCAGGATGGAATGTCAAGGTTACCGTGGATACCGTGGGATACTTCCTGTAACCCCCACCCCCTCCCTCATTTCCCCCCACTCTGCAGTGGTTCACAGCCTCTCAGTTTAACATCTGGATCTCTGCTGTCCAACCCAAACATGTGGAGAGAGAGAGACAAAATGAGCTGTTAGTGTGTCAGCGCTTGTAAACAGGAACATATTAAAATGGTTAAGATCCACTTGTATACGCAATGTTTGGGCACTCCTGAGCAAATTATATATTGAGTTGATTTATGAGGTGAAAAGAAGCAAACACAACCACTGCAGAAAACGAAAACCATCTATTAATGTGTAATGTTACTTTTTATTTCATGAACTTGTGAAAGGGACATTGCAGTTTGCGAACTCTTGCTGTTGCCAGCTACGAGTCTTTCTAGTCCGGACTTCCTGCAGATCACTTTCAGCTCTGAGATCCACCCGCGGACTCTCAGTGATGTTCCAGTCAGGAGGACTGTGTGAGGACTGTTCCAAAAAGCTCCGGCTTGTGTTTCTTTTGTGGTGGTTTTTGAGTTTTTGTTTGGATTGTCGCCCTGCTGCAGTAGCCAGCCTCATTTCATTTTCACTGGAGAACAGGACAGTTGAATCCAGGATTTGCTGATACTAAGTGGAGGCTATTCTTCCTTTGTCCCTGGCTCCTACACAACACAAGATACAACTATATATTTTTTATGTTGGATGACTTGTTGCATATCGATAGCTCCATCTATCCATTTGACATGGCTTAAAGAAAACATGTGTTCATTATGTAAATATAAGGCACAAACATCAGGTCAAACCTCAGGTGCCTCATTGGTGCAGAGGAAAAGTTTTGGATCCTTCTAGAGCTGTAAACTTTCCATGGTGGGAAGCCAGTGAGGGATCATGGGCTTGATGATTCCTTTTTTGCATAGCAGAGGAGTGAGGGGTCTGGGACAGACTGTCGACCTTTATTTGTATTTATTGATTTTGTATATTTGTTGTCATTGATTTTAAATGATATTGTATTATTTGGCTTGTTTGATGTTTTGTATTTAGACAGTCGCGGGACAATCGGTAGAGAAATCAGAAAGAGGGACCAATGTGCACAGTGAACTTAACTTAAAACATTTCAGATTTAAAAGTATGCCTGCCCATGTATCATCATGTCATCTATAGCAGCAGATGCATCAAGTGAAGAAAATGAGTTAAGAAGACGAATGTCATTTCATTTGTGGGAACAAACAGGTGGAAGGAAGGGAGAAAAGAGTGTTTGCATGTGATTGACAGGTCATTGCATAGTATCAGTGAGGATATCAGTCCTTGTGTGTGTATGTGTGTGACTGACAGCGAGCCCAGCGTGCTTGTGTGTGTGTGTGTGGCCCAGTTAATCCATGTTGTAGCGCAGTCAGTGTCCCACTGCCTCTCAGGGTTAATATAGGGTTAACGACATGCAACGATATCCCATCATACGCCTGCTTGACTCCTAAAGAGCCACATCCACTCTGCTCCTCTGTGTGTGTGTGTGTGTGTGTGTGTGTGTGTGTGTGTGTGTGTGTGTGTGTGTGTGTGTGTGTGCACCGTTCAGTTCCTCCTCCTTGTGTCTCTTACTGTCTTTTCTCAGTCACTCAACATCCTCATCATCTCGCCTTTTTTCTGTTTCTTCATCCTTCTAACACCTCAACTTCCCCATCCTCATCTCTCTCTTTCTTCGTCGCTCTGTCTCACCCTCTCTTTCACCCACCTCTCTCCCCTTCTTTTGCTCCCCCCCTCCCTTCCTGTCTCTTTCTCCTTTTCTTCCTTTGACTTCGTTCTACTCTCTCTGTGGCCCTGAGGGGTTACCTACCTCACTGCTCAGCTCGCTGCCTGTTTAGACTTCTGCGATTGGCTTAATAGGCTCAGGCTGTGTGTGTGTGTGTGTGTGTGTGTGTGTGTGTGTGTGTGTGTGTGTGTGTGT